CTTAAAACACCCCTTCAGGAAAAACCTCAATTTGTCCAATTTACGAAGTTTTTCATTTGTCCTTGCCGCATGCCACCTCTCGGGGTTCCAAACCCCATCCTCGAGGTGGGCCCTTGAGATTTTGTTGGGCCAGACCTGCGCGAGGGGTGAATCGCGCAGGGCCAATAGGACCGTCCTGTGGTACATGCATTAGGACGCAAGTCCGGATGTGGGAGATCTCAAACGGGGGGGGGGGAGGCCAATCCTCAGCCAATACTCCTTCTCCCCTTACTTGGTGTCTTTGATAGCAGATGTACTATAGAGAGTGTATAATAGTGCTTTGAGGAGACTGGGAAGGGTGTTAGTTAAAAACCAACATTAAAACATTCTGAAGAACAGCATCAAATTCATTTGTGTGGCTGAATACGTGAGTCCTCTTTTGTGTGATGCTATAGCAAGCAACATTTCTTTGCTTCATTTTCAGCAAAAAAAATGAAGATTTAGAAGTGTATTTGATGATATATTTTCTATTTTTTGCTACTTGTGTCCTAGATATACAACTCAAGATTTCAACTACAATACAAATATGGAGACTATGTCAAAATAACAACTATGGTTTAAAGTAGTGTCAATAATCTGAGTAGAGCTGTCTGTTTTTGTAAGTGACATCTTGATGCTCTGTAATTTAAGGAATTACTTTTCGAAAACCATCTGCATCATTTATACCCTGTAAGCTGTTTTTTTCTGATTCCAGGATACCAGAGTAGCGTATTCTGTAATGAATAAACACTTTTAAAAAATCAATGATTAGGAAACCTAGTGCTATTCACATATTTTAGACTTTATCTCCCATCAGGTACAGCAGAATGGCCAATTGCAAGCAACTGAATTGTGGGACCTGTAATTCAAAACAGTTGGATAGCATCCAGCTGCTGTCCAGAATTAAGAGTTCCTTTCCCATTTAAAACACAAGAGCAGGAATACAACTGCATATATAAAGTAGTGTCATAAACAGAACGTGGGACTTCCTCATCCCAGTCTTTACTTCCTTTATACTTGAAAATAAAAAAAAAATAAGGGGTACTCACTTCAGAAGGTTTTGCAACTTCCTTTTCATCCACATATTTTGCCCAAGGTCCCAAGAAGCCATCTATATTAGATGCATCATTCTGTTTGAATTTTTTCCTTTTCTCTATTTTCTTTTGCCCCGTTTCAAACACCGTTAGACCTATGGACAATAACAAAAGTTTATGTCCAGATTTGAAAGCAATTCTTACTTTAAGGATGACAGAATGGTCTTCTGCCTCCTGAAATATCAATTGATGCTTTCATACAATATCAAGTTTGATCTGTGGACGGCAAGTTCATGACAATCCCCGTTTGATGCTCATATCTAGCCAATAAAACTCTAAATAGTTTTGGCATGATTTGTAACTATGACGTTTATACACTACTTATACTCTGCTATGATTAGGTTCCGTATTAGTTTTCTCCTTATAGCACATTTATCACGTTAAGAGATAACTAAATAAAGGCATTCTTAGAAAACAAAAAACGGTGATGACTACCTGCAACCTAATACTTTCTTTAGAAATGTTATCACTGGCCCAGAAAACAAAGATAAGCTATGGCAATAAGAAGAGTACTAGAGGTGACAGTTAATCCCCTACCCCCCCCTTTTTGAAGGCAACCATGACATCTTCAGAATTTTAAAACATATCTGAACCACTCAAACAAGTCACAACCCCTGTCGTGAACATGTTTTCTCATCCATCAAAGAGTGATGGTTCATACAACGCTTAATTGTTAGTTTGTGAACGCAAGAATACAGAACAAAAGATAATAATGAAATCATAAATGAAATCATATTTGATGTTTCTTTACCTTGATTTTTTTCTGCTTCTTCTACAGATCCAATATATTTAGTAGGCACTTCGTAATTGTCTATTGAAGGATCTAGTGCATATCCTGCGGGATCAAATCATTTTAAAGTTATCTTTCGTAAAGTATTTTTATTGTCACCATTTTAATTTATACTATCAAGCTCACCAAAAATGTTTGTCCTTGGCTCATGTCTGACACACATTTTTTTTTAAACAAAGATCATTATAAATTAATTATCAACAGATCTTAAGAATTTTCAAAGCTTTTGTTGCTATAATGCTATAAATAAAGATAATTATAATGATTTTATATATGGGATGCATACATGCAGAAACATATATTACTCCCTTTCTATTGATATCTGAGTAAGCTATATATTCAGTCTTTTACATCGTATGGCCACTGAAACAGAAAGCTTCATATTGGTCTAGAATTCAAAAAGTCTATTTTTGAATAGATTATTCAAATACTGATTGTATTTGAAAAAACAACATTTCAGCATTTATTGATAATGTATATTTAATTATATAGACTACAATATATTTAATTCTTTTTTATTTTTAGTGATTTAAGCCCAACTTTAAGTTTTACTCCATGGTTAAAAAAATGGAAGCAATATTACTGCCATTGTAGGATTGAACAAAATTACCTGTTTGTCTTAAAAATGCTTACAAATAACAAAAAAAATGGCAGGATTCCAATCACAATCATCTATTCACACTGCAAAGTGTGAATTGTAACATTAATCAAAAGTAAGGGATCATGCCACCAGTTTTATCTACCTTCCCCCTCCTGTCTGCACACATTTAAACAGAAATACCATTTTTAGTGATTAGGTATTGCTTCAGAATATGAATCACAGTTAACATGAAATCAAGACTGAATCTTTTGGCATTCCACTTCATACCCCCATACAGTTGGATGAGCACTCTTTGAATGATTTGCAAGCTAGCTATCCATTTAACTGTCATTATATCCATTCTACATTAATTGACTCCCTAATCATGAGATCGTGCATGCAGGATAATTGAAAAAAGCCAAAGAATGCCAAAAAGAAATCAGTATGTGCTTCATTTAGTATAGAAAAGCCTTTGGATTGCATCAATCACATCAAGCTGTGGAATGCGCTCAGAAAAATGGGAATCTCAGAACACGCAAGTCAAAAAGCCACAGTCGAACAGAACATGGTGAAACAGGTTGGTTAGCAAAGGAGTGCAACAAGGCTGCATACTCTCCTATTATTCACTGAATGGAAGTGGAATTGGAAGAAGTTTTAAAATTGGAGGAAAAGACCCCAATACCCTGTCCCATGCTA